GTTCGGCTTGTCCGGGCGCCTTCGCCCGTCGTCGGATCGCGCTTGCAGAACCAGAAACTATTTTTATACTTTCATCGCAATCAAGTCGGGCCCGTTTCGGTTCCCGATCGCATGATTATCGACTCCTGTCTCCTGTTTCAGAGCCGTGGGTCTTTGCCCCGATTTGTATTAATTCAAATTCAGCTCTCAAGTTCGCGGCGTAGATTTGCTTTGCGCCTCGGAAAACTCCCGCTTCACGTTATACAGGGTGTCCGGAAGTTACATAGAGTACATAGAGTTGCAATGTATAGATGGGAGAGCTGGCGCCATGTTCTGTTCGACGAGTTCCGAGCCCGGTATGTGGGTCACTTTTCTATACATATTCGATCCAAAATGGCGGTGTGGAATACGTAGTAATTCCTCGGCCGGATCCAGAGACAAGCCGGGTCCCCGTGTATCGCAAACAATCGATTTTGTATCGAAAAAGTGACCCGGCGCCGCACAGGAGTCTCGGAGTTTGGGACCTGGATATTGCTTAAAAGTGGCGCCAGCTCTCCCACTTACATTACGACTCTATGTACTCTATGGGAAGTTAACGTATATAACTTTCAGGATCGATTTTTTGGCTCAAAACACGACTATTATTTCCCATACACATATACCCGAAAAGGCTTCATAAGTGAGCTATGCGCTTCTAAAGTTGCCATTTTCTTTCTTCCAAATTGATGTGACTCCTCGTTATTTGGTCGTAAGTAGCTGTAACTTTGTGTAAGGGGGTATTTTCTTAGCGTACTGTTCATTTTTTGTGTTTTCAAGGGCGTGCGTCTTCGGAAAATAATGTTACGAGCGTTCCCGAATCGTAAAATTGCGATCACTTTTTTGGTAGATGAGATTTGGAAAAATGGTTACGGTACTTGGAAGAGCGCGAAAAATCAAGGCAGTAGCCTCGTAAAGTACTACACAAAATTTTCTAGAAACGCATCATTTCGACAAACAGAGCTTTGATAAAAAGTTCAGATTCTCGAAGCTCCTTACTGGGTAGGCAATGTTTACTGCA